CATGGCCAAATCTTTCTCATTACATGGCCAAATCTTTCTCATTACATGGCCAAATCTTTTACATGGCCAAATCTTTCTTATTACATGGCCAAATCTTTCTCATTACATGGCCAAATCTTTCTCATTACATAGCCAAATCTTTCTCTTTACATGGCCAAATCTTTCTCATTACATGGCCAAATCTTTCTCATTACATGGCCAAATCTTTGTCATTACATGGCCAAATCTTTCTCATTACATGGCCAAATCTTTCTCATTACATGGCCAAATCTTTCTCATTACGTGGCCAAATCTTTCTCATTACATGGCCAAATCTTTCTCATTACATGGCCAAATCTTTCTCATTACATGGCCAAATCTTTCTCATTACATGGCCAAATCTTTCTCATTACATGGCCAAATCTTTCTCTTTATACAGTTAGATCTTTCTCATTACATGGCCAAATCTTTCTCATTACATGGCCAAATCTTTCTCATTACATGGCCAAATCTTTCTCATTACATGGCCAAATCTTTATCATTACGTGGCCAAATCTTTCTCATTACATGGCCAAATCTTTCTCATTGGATGGCCAAATCTTTCTCATTACATGGCCAAATCTTTCTCATTACATGGCCAAATCTTTCTCTTTATACAGTTAGATCTTTCTCATTACATGGCCAAATCTTTCTCATTACATGGCCAAATCTTTCTCATTGGATGGCCAAATCTTTCTCATTACGTGGCCAAATCTTTGTCATTACGTGGCCAAATCTTTCTCATTACATGGCCAAATCTTTGTCATTACATGGCCAAATCTTTCTCATTACATGGCCAAATCTTTCTCATTACATGGCCAAATCTTTCTCATTACATGGCCAAATCTTTCTCATTACATGGCCAAATCTTTCTCATTACATGGCCAAATCTTTTACATGGCCAAATCTTTCTCATTACATGGCCAAATCTTTCTCATTACATGGCCAAATCTTTCTCATTACATGGCCAAATCTTTCTCATTACATGGCCAAATCTTTCTCATTACATGGCCAAATCTTTCTCATTACATGGCCAAATCTTTTACATGGCCAAATCTTTCTCATTACATGGCCAAATCTTTCTCATTACATAGCCAAATCTTTCTCTTTACATGGCCAAATCTTTCTCATTACATGGCCAAATCTTTCTCATTACATGGCCAAATCTTTTACATGGCCAAATCTTTCTCATTACATGGCCAAATCTTTCTCATTACATGGCCAAATCTTTCTCATTACATAGCCAAATCTTTCTCTTTACATGGCCAAATCTTTCTCATTACATGGCCAAATCTTTCTCATTACATGGCCAAATCTTTTACATGGCCAAATCTTTCTCATTACATGGCCAAATCTTTCTCTTTACATGGCCAAATCTTTCTCATTACATGGCCAAATCTTTCTCATTACATAGCCAAATCTTTCTCTTTACATGGCCAAATCTTTCTCATTACATGGCTAAATCTTTCTCATTACATGGCCAAATCTTTTACATGGCCAAATCTTTCTCATTACATGGCCAAATCTTTCTCATTACATGGCCAAATCTTTCTCATTACATAGCCAAATCTTTCTCACTACATGGCCAAATCTTTCTCACTACATGGCCAAATCTTTCTCATTACATGGCCAAATCTTTCTCATTACATGGCCAAATCTTTCTCATTACATGGCCAAATCTTTTACATGGCCAAATCTTTCTCATTACATGGCCAAATCTTTTACATGGCCAAATCTTTCTCATTACATGGCCAAATCTTTCTCATTACATGGCCAAATCTTTGTCATTACATGGCCAAATCTTTCTCATTACATGGCCAAATCTTTCTCATTACATAGCCAAATCTTTCTCACTACATGGCCAAATCTTTCTCACTACATGGCCAAATCTTTCTCACTACATGGCCAAATCTTTCTCACTACATGGCCAAATCTTTCTCATTACATGGCCAAATCTTTCTCATTATATGGCCAAATCTTTCTCATTACATGGCCAAATCTTTCTCATTACATAGCCAAATCTTTTACATGGCCAAATCTTTCTCATTACATGGCCAAATCTTTCTCTTTACATGGCCAAATCTTTCTCTTTACATGGCCAAATCTTTGTCATTACATGGCCAAATCTTTTACATGGCCAAATCTTTCTCATTACATGGCCAAATCTTTCTCATTACATGGCCAAATCTTTGTCATTACATGGCCAAATCTTTCTCATTACATGGCCAAATCTTTCTCATTACATAGCCAAATCTTTCTCACTACATGGCCAAATCTTTCTCACTACATGGCCAAATCTTTCTCACTACATGGCCAAATCTTTCTCATTACATGGCCAAATCTTTCTCATTACATGGCCAAATCTTTGTCATTACGTGGCCAAATCTTTCTCATTACATTGCCAAATCTTTCTCATTACATGGCCAAATCTTTCTCATTACATGGCCAAATCTTTCTCATTACATGGCCAAGTCTTTCTCATTATGTGGCAATGGATGTTACCCTAACCTTTTTTCATTACTTGGCGGATATGCGGATGTAATCATGGCTTTCTCATTACATCATGGCTTTTTCATTACACGATCAAGTATTTTAGAGGATGTAATGGTGGTGTCTCTAATTACACTGTCAAGTTCCGGAGAATGATGATCTCTCATTACATGCTGAGGTATAGGAGGACATCAGGCCAGGAACTAATGTCAGCGTTCTTAGATCACGGAGGGGGGGGGGGGGGAGATAATTCGATTGCTGAAATATCGTTTTTTATAGGAATCGATCGGAGAGGGGTTGGTCACGAACGTCTCGCGAGAACTCAGCGAGATCGGCTCACGAGAGGAGAGTAAATGATACCGTTTTAAGACACGGCAGCGCGGCAACTTGAAATTAAACTCACGAACGTCTCTATCTGTCTCATGCGGTGGGGGAGGGGGTGCGCCGGCTGGGTGGGAGGGGCCAGCCAGCCCTGTCATTGAGTCTCCCATTACCCAGAGCTCCCCCTTGCGGTGATTACCCGACTTGACCCCGACAAAAGCCTGCACTTGGGCGAGTTAATAGAGTAATTGGCGAAATGAAGGCAGACGGCAGCCATACGTCGGTCCGGGCTGTCCTCGCCCCACCCCAGACCGCAGATAAATATTTGAGTTGCCCACAGTCACGTGACGTCACATCAAATAGGGCCGCAATTGTTTCTTTCAGTTGCGTGAAGTTACCCGCACAATTGTGCCATACGGGTGCGTCGATGTGCGTGGATGTGCGTTTGACTGCCTTACTGTCAACTATTAATTTGGTTAGCTCATTAAATATGTTAATCTCTTAATCGATAGCGAAAGAAGGCAGTGTCGCGTCAAACTTTATTATACATACGATATAAATAAATAAATATGTATATATTTCTTTCCGGAAAGAAAAAACTACTGGCTACAACTAATATATACCTGATTGGTAGTATTTTACAAAGAAAAGCTTGATAAATATTCAAAGAGAAAATTTACCATCTAATTAAGTAACATTAAGTACATTGTACTCGAGTTTTGACCTACGTGAAAAGTTTAAAATAACTCGAAGTGTTCGAAATTTTGCTCGCAAGTTTCCGACTTGATTCATATGCGTATTTTCAGAAATCGGAAATTGGTTAAAGTATTACTTCCGGTTACCGGAATTCACGTAAACTGTCAGAAAAGAGAGAATTAGATCTTCTACATATATATGAGATTTCCTCTATCTAACTGAAACAGTACTTAAGTTGAAGGCGTTTGAAAAACCGAAGGTACAATAAGTAAACCTCAAGTTATCGTGTTCACAGACAGAAACACAGACAGACACACAGACATACAGACAAAATTACAAAACTAAGTTTTTCCAACTCAGGGAAATGTAAAACGACGAGATTTGTGAAAAGGTCCATTTCGATTGTGTGTACGGTTACAATACTTCTTCCACACTCCGTGTACGAGAATGTAAAAAGGACATACAAGATAGAGCGGGAGTGATCTCTTCTAAACTTTCTCGAACATCATATTTTTACAATTAATTTCATTCCTCTGTCTATCGTTCTTAGTACTTTGTCACAGATCGAAACTGCCGAGCTAAATTTCCTGCACTCCTAACTGACCGATTCGTTTCAAACTTGGCATGTGAGTCAAACCCACGACAATGCATTCTGACATCAAATTTGACGCTATTGGATGCCTAATTATTTTTTTATGAATTAATTGAAATTTTCTAAATAAAGTATGGAGTCCTACTGTTATTCCGCACTATTATACGCACATTTTTATGTTCATTTGGTGCTCAAAAGTGCCCCTTGTATAATAAAATGTAAAGTGCTTTAAAAAAAAACAGAAATAGCGTAAAGTAATACTTCCGTTCACCAGAATTAACTCAAAATTTGAGAGTACCAAGAGAATGATATCTTAAATCGTTTCAAATTTCGTCTACCTTACTGAAATGGCACTCAAGATATCAGTAAATTAGAAGCCAGAAATAGATTCCGGTTATCGGAACACCCTCAAAATTTAAAAGTAATTAGAATTTACGATCTTATATTTGAAATTCCATTTACATAACTGAATATGTGCTCAAGTTATAGTGTTCACAAGGAAAATGATGAAGTACTGGATTCCAAAAACCGTTCAAAATTTGATAGAAATATGCGCATACAGTATAATACTTGTACGTAAAATTTCCTCCACCTAACTTAAACAATACTCAAGCTATTGACTTTTGAAAAACCGGAGGTAGAAAAAAAGTACCACTTCCAGATACCGGAAATCGCTAAAAAGTTGATACAGAGGGGGTTTGGAGGATGGGAATGGTAAGATGGGCGTGGTAGGTGGGGTGAGGTGATGTGTGAGACGGTGTGGGGATGTGGGAGGGTGTGGGGTGTGGTAAGATGGGCGTGGTAGGTGGGGTGAGGTGATGTGTGGGAGTGAGTTGCCAGAAGTGAAGGTAAGGCTCCGTCAAGTCCTGCCATCTCCGTCAAGTCCTGCCGTCTCCGTCAAGTCCTGCCATCTACGTCAAGTCCTGCCGTCAAGTCCTGCCATCTCCGTCAAGTCCTGCCATCTACGTCAAGTCCTGCCATCTCCGTCAAGTCCTGCCATCTCCGTCAAGTCCTGCCGTCAAGTCCTGCCGTCAAGTCCTGCCGTCAAGTCCTGCCGTCAAGTCCTGCCGTCAAGTCCTGCCGTCAAGTCCTACCATCTCCGTCAAGTCCTGTCGTCAAGGCATGCCGTCAAGTCCTGCCGTCAAGTCCTGCCGTCAAGTCCTACCATCTCCGTCAAGTCCTGCCGTCAAGTCCTACCATCTCCGTCAAGTCCTGCCATCTACGTCAAGTCCTGCCATCTCCGTCAAGTCCTGCCATCTCCGTCAAGTCCTGCCGTCAAGTCCTGCCGTCAAGTCCTGCCGTCAAGTCCTGCCGTTAAGTCCTGCCGTCATGTCCTGCCGTCAAGTCCTGCCATCTCCGTCAAGTCCTGCCGTCAAGTCCTGCCGTCAAGTCCTGCCGTCAAGTCCTGCCGTCAAGTCCTGCCGTCAAGTCCTACCATCTCCGTCAAGTCCTGTCGTCAAGGCATGCCGTCAAGTCCTGCCGTCAAGTCCTGCCGTCAAGTCCTACCATCTCCGTCAAGTCCTGCCGTCAAGTCCTACCATCTCCGTCAAGTCCTGCCGTCAAGTCCTGCCGTCAAGTCCTGTCGTCAAGTCCTTCCATTGTGGTGAGTACATTAGCTGATGAGCCCATGTTTGCCGGCACCGCCCACACGGAGGGTCCACCACCCCGACCAAGACGCCACCGCGACAATTACATCCCCGCCATTTTGAAACATTAATTACAATTTTTAAGCCACTCACATAATTATGTCATCAAAACAGCGACAAATTAATTTTCCAATTGAGGCGCCGTCAGTGTGTATGAGCGATTGGTTACTCCCGTACGGCGAGTCCCGCACAAAGACGTAGCCCCTGGCGCCATATGCTCCGGCACCGCTGACGTCACGGCGCGAGAGAAACTGTACATGGTTGGGAGTGACCTTCAACCCCGATTGGATCCAATTCTTTGATTGTGGTCATGTTTTTATTAGCCGGTGATCAGTCGGCAGATGGCGGTATTGTCCCCCCACAAATTATCTACACCGCATGCGACAAAGATGCGCTACATTTGAAGTTTATCCGCTTCAATTAATTAAACCATTTATTCCTGGTAATATGCGCCATTTAAAAAACCCATGCGCTACTTGAGAAGTGCGCAGTGCACTTAGTTGACCCAGTAGAGACCTACACACTGCACTCTGATAAGGGAAGATAATCTTGTATCATTTTAAACAATCAACACACTACACGATGTACACACTACACGATGTACACACTACACGATGTACACACTACACGATGTACACACTACACGATGTACACACTACACGATGTACACAATGCACGATGTACACACTACACGATGTACACACTACACGATGTACACACTACACACTACACGATGTACACACTACATGATGTACACACTACACACTACACGATGTACACACTACACGATGTACACACTACAGGATGTACACACTACACGATGAACACACTACAGGATGTACACACTACACACTACACAATGTACACACTACACGATGTACACACTACAGGATGTACACACTACACGATGCACACACTACATGATGTACACATTACACGATGTACACACTACTCGATGTACACACTACACACTACACGATGTACACACTACACACTACACGATGTACACACTACACACTACACGATGTACACACTACACACTACACGATGCACACACTACATGATGTACACACTACACGATATACACACTACACACTACACGATGTACACACTAAAGTATGTACACACTACACGATGTACACACTACAGGATGTACGCACTACACACTACACGATGTACAAACTACACGATGTACACACTAAAGTATGTACACACTACACGATGTACACACTACAGGATGTACACACTACACACTACACGATGTACACACTACACGATGTACACACTACAGGATGTATACACTACACGATGCACACACTACATGATGTACACACTACACTATGTACACACTACACGATGTACACACTACACACTACACGATGTACACACTACACGATGTACACACTACACACTACACGATGTACACACTACACACTACACGATGTACACACTACACACTACACGATGTAAACACTACATGATGTACACACTACACGATGTACACACTACACACTACACGATGTACACACTACACACTACACGATGTAAACACTACATGATGTACACACTACACACTACACGATGTACACACTACACGATGTACACACTACACACTACACGATGTACATTCTACACACTACACGATGTACACACTACATGATGTACACACTACACGATTTACACACTACACGATGTACAACCTATACGATTTGCACACTACACACTGAAAATAAATGCTCTACACTTCGTAAATATAAACATTATATTCGCTTTAGATATAAATATTATATACGCTGTAAATATAAGCATCATATTTGTTGTAAACAAAGCATAATAACCCTGTAAATATAAACATCATATTCGATGTCAATATAAACGTCAGATTCGCTAAAAATACAAACATCATATACGCTGTCAATATAAGAATAATAACCCTGTAAATATAAACATCACATACACTGTAAATATAAGCATCATATATGCTGTCAATATAAGAATAATAACCCTGTAAATATACAAGATACTTCACCCAATGAATGTTAAATGAATGCGTCCCGTGAATACACAAAGTACTAATCCTAATCGTAATCAATTACATTTACTTGATTGATAGAGTCCACATCATTGGTAATACAGATCTTTAATCCAAGAAACTATGTCAATTTTGATTTACAGATCGGAGATTAAATATAATATTTTTAAAAAAATCATGTTGAGCTTTAAAAGTAAAATGTTAGTGGCTGGTGTATATTGGAAAAATATTTTATAGCAACCAAATCTTATACAACTAAAAATATGTTTTTTTAATTGTTTTAAATGCTCTTAACAACATAGCTAGGTCTTTGTAAATCGCTTATGCTTGTTTTATTTGCTAAAGTTGAAAGCGTCAGTCGATGCTTCAATGCAAGCAGATGGCCCTACTTTATAAATTCTGGCCGGATCGTTCTTCCGTCACGACTCAGAGGCGTAGCGAAGGGGGGGGGGGGGGTGGCAGGGGGGGTACATGTGTCCCCGGAAAGTTTGAGGGGGGTGCAAATTGAAAATTGAAGGTTTGTTCCCGAGGGGGGCGCCAAATTGAAAATTTGTCTGTCACGACATAAAGATTTTAATACCACCCCTCCCCCCTTCATCTACCTAATGTCTCTAAATTTAACTTGTAGAATAAGTGTACACGAGTGGTTCGATTATCTAACCTCATGAGCGCCCGACTCAAAGATTTGTAAACAACAATCGATGTGATCACCGGCTCACCTGACTGATCAAATGATGGCTACTGGCTAGTTGTCTCCCATCTTGTAGCGGATATTAAGTCCCCTTTCAAACCTGATGGTCTATGGGGCAAGTGAAGTAGTTTACTTGTTGAAGAGATGGTGTGGTCAGCACTAAGCCCAGCCGCCTTTACTTTATCTAATGTGAGTCAGGTACCTATCACAGCTAAGTGGACTCAGGGACGTTTGCAGACTTGAATCCGGAATCGAACTCGAGACTTTCGGGTTAGCAGTCGTGTGTTTCTACCATTCGACTACCCTTTGGGGTCATCCATAAATGACGTCACGCTTTTTTTGACGATTTTTACCTCCCCCCCCCCCTCCCCTCCGTCACACGTCGTCACAAAAAGCCAGACCCCCCCCCTAAAATGACGTCACACCTCAACCTACAACCCCCCCCCCCCTTAAAATTGCAGTTGAATTTTTTTTAAACATCGATATTTTTCCAAAATCTTGTCTAAACTATTACAATTTATTAAAACAGTTATCTAAAACGCGAAATAACGTCTAAAATTCGTTTTCTAACATTGCTTTTTTATAATGCAAAAATTTGACGTCGCAACATCTGACCCCCCCCTCCCCCTCATCACACATCGTCACAAAATTACGGACCCCCCCTCCCCCCTACGAGTGTGACGTCATTTATGGATGACCCCTTTGACAACGCCGTCCCAATTAAAGATATTGAAATTAATTTTTAATGACAAATGACAAATCTCACTATATGGGTTTTTTAAAAAATATTCTTGCATTGTCGTCGGAAATGCTATCGTATGCATACTTAGAATGACATTTATATTTCGGTCTGTATTCTAAATATTTAGTCACTACCAGCCTGTGTCTCAAGACACGAGATTTAGTCACACAAGTCTGCTATATTTAGTCCCTCCAATGTCTACAACAGATTACCCGATGTTCCAGCCAATCATGTGACTAACGTTGTAATTCACCTTTGACCTTCAAGATCGGATTATTTATTTTCTACTCTCCGACATAACGGCCCCCCCCTCCCGTCCACTTTTTCCCCGTCTCCTGTTCGGTGCTAGACAAACACGTCCTGCTGACGTCACGAGGAGTTTCTTTGTTTTAAGTGAGCGGAAGTGAGAGAAATTGACCGCTTACACGGAGGTAAGGCGACACCCGAGTGACCGGGGGTGGGGCGGGGGTGGGGCGGGTGGCGGACCCTGCTATAGGTCGGGAAAACGCGATGACGATCGGTGCCATCAAAGACGCCCGGTCACGTGATCCGGCCTACCTGGCCAGGTATGCTCTCAGCGTTAGTGCTTGCACAAGATGCCAGGATTGGAGCCCATTCCCTTAAGCAAATTGTATTAATTCATGACGGAAGAAGCAAATACTGGGGATCTCGTCTAGATCCGCCGGGCCCGGATCGCCTCCCTTGTGTTCGGGAACTTTATATTCCATTTCCGGTCTGCTTCTATGTCCTCGACTCAATCGGAACCGGAAGTGAACCGACAGCAGGTAAGCTGAGGCACAGGTAGATCTTGAAGACAGGAAGTCGGATCAAAGGTGGGCTGACGTCACAACAAATCAAAGGTGGGCTGACCGTTAGGACAAATCAAAGGTGGGCTGACGTCACAACAAATCAAAAGTGGGCTGACGTCACAACAAATCAAAGGTGGGCTGACGTCACAACAAATCAAAAAAGGGCTGGCCGTTAGGACAAATCAAAGGTGGGCTGACCGTTAGGACAAATCAAAGGTGGGCTGACCGTTAGGACGAATTTTGTACTTACCAGCCAACACGTAGACAGACATACTTTTGGAGAGCAGAGGCGTAGCTAGGGGAGGGCGGGTAGGGCGGGCGCCCCGGCCGACGATCTTTGGGGGCGCCAAATTAGGTAGAAAAAATTTTTAAAGTTTATTTTGAGCTACATTGCGGTTGAAAATAGAAAGCTACTTGGCTCTACGGACTATTTTCTACATTACTTGTGTGATATGGAAAAAAACTATTAACATGACTAAAGGGGACGGGGGGGGGGGTGGCTCGTTTTTCGCTAACGTTGATAAATATATAGGTCTAAATATGTGGGGAGGGGGGGCAAAAATTGATAGTTCGCCCCTGCGCAGAAATGGGTATCTACGCCTCTGACTATTGGAGGTGAGCAGTTGTTTGTGTGCACTCCAGATCGGCCCGTGTGATCAATGCTGGATTAAACCTTAAGGGTG